CGGCGCGGCCTTTGTCCCGTAGGTGACGGTTGTCAGATGATATGGCACTTCATTGAGTTGATCGTCCATCCAGAGTATCCGTTGCAACTCCCAGTCATCCTTGTGAATTTTGATCTGCCTGTACATCTTGGTGATGTCTGTAGCGAAAATGTGACGGTGTCTTCGTATCCAGAGGAGAACATCTGAGATATTCAGATGCAATTTTGCTCCAGTATACATGAGGTCGTTAGCAGAGTAGCCCGATGTTGATGCGCTGGAGCCATTAAATACGACTCGCAGCTTCGTTGTTGTACTGTCAGGCTTGAGAACACCGTGATGTGGTAGGTAGAAGTGTGAGCGACGACTGGAGATGGATGATGCCTTCGTCATGTGGTTGAGTGTCTCGTACTCCATCATGAATTGTTGATAGAGACGTTGATAGTTCACATCCCTTGAGAATCGTCTGCGTAATCCCTTGAGGCACTGATGGGCGACGTGGTACGAGTCACCCAGAAGATATACTGGTGATTTGAGCGGAATCCTGACGACGTACCTCCCTGAAGAATCACGAGAGTGTGTGGCCTTGAAGTGCTCTTCGCACCTCTGCTCGTCAGGAGTGAGTTGATTGACATCGTGAGTAGGCACCTCCTCTTGAACCCAGAATTTTGTCAGTAACTCGTTGAGAGCATCCTCGTTGACTTGAGTAGAAGCATGGTGCGTTGCTGTGCGTGGTGCTTCCCTATTGACTGGTCCAAGAACGAGCCATCCGAAAATGGAGAGTTGCGCTATCGGCATGAGTGGAGAATGCCGAATGATATTGGGCTTGATGATTTGCCCGTAAGCGTCTGCGCCGATGAGGATGTCAACTGGCCGTGGGATGAGAAAATCAGGATCGGCTAATGAGTTCCTGAGATGCGGCCATTCTTCCGGTTCCGCCTCGAACGATGGTAAGATTGATGTAACTGTCCGGGGGACATGAGCTTGAATTGTGGCAGCTGCGTTGGAATGTGTCGAGCGTAACGTGAGTGACACGACTCCTCGTGTCCGAGTACACTCCTTGCCTGCAATTCCAGTGATGACAATACCTGAGTATTGACGAGGGATGTTGAGCTGCCGAATGAGATTCTCCGAGACGAAGGTGAGCTCGGATCCTGTGTCAATGAGCAGACGCGCTGAGTGGGGCGTTGTAGAGGAGTTGACCAATGCCAAGGCTGTGGCAAGCAGCGTTGAGTAAGATGAGCGGACGTTTGAGCTGGTCTTGACGACTGCACCGGCTTTTCAATGTTCGGGCGTGGCCGATGACCCACCGGTCTTCTGGGCTGGCGCTGCTATTGGGTGTGTGCCGTGCAGCATTGTGTGGTGCCGCCCTGAGCAGGTCTTGCAACCTCGCTGCGACTTGCATGCACGCACACTGTGCCTCCCCAGGCAGTTGAAGCACAAGCGCTTGTCAACTGCCACCTTGTGCCGGGCTGCCGGTGCCAGTTCCCTGAACTTACTGCACATCACAATAAAGTGCTGCGCATTGCAACAGTCGCACGGGTACGATGAGTCGCTCTGCTGGGTTGCCTGATGAGCCCTCTTTGGTGGTGAGGGTGCTGAGCTGGGACTTGGATGAGTCGTAGCTTCGATCCGCTCGAGCGCCCGTCTCTTGGTCGTCAAAAACTCCTCGAGTGTCTCGAACGTGGGGTAGTCGCGCGTGGCACCAACAGCGTTCTCCCACTGTTCTCGTGTCACGCGATCCAGGAGTCGCGTGACGTGATACACCACCGCGGAATCTCCGAGCTTGTCCGTTACCTCGAGGGCCTCCAGTCCCTTGAGTGCTTCTCTGACTCCCGAGACCAGTCGATCCAAGGACGCCGCCTTCCTTGGCACTGGGGTTGAGCTGGCGAACAGTTTATCAAGGCAGGCGTGAATGAGTAGACGTTTGTTCTCGTACCTGTCCTTGAGTAACTCCCAGGACGGCGTGAGCGAGTCTCCTGCCATGATGAATCCTGCGATCAGCTGGGCTGGCGCGCCTTCCACCGACGAACGGAGGTAGTGAAGTCTCTCGACGTTCGTGAGCTGCTCGTTCTCCATGATCAGACTGGTGAAGAGATCTCTGAACGCAGGCCATGCGGCATACTCCCCGGTGAACTTGGGGAGTGAGATGTCCGGCAAGCGTGAGAGCGGCTGTCTGTTCTCGCTGGTCGATGAGCTGGTCTGCGGTTGAACGGGCTGATCTGCCAATGCGTGACGAAGCACGCCGATGACTCGTCGCGCCTGCATGTAGCATCGCAACTCAGCCTGGTGAGCGTTCTCGGCGAAGTACTCATGGTGAGTAAGCGTCGTAGGCCATGACACCTCGAAATAGGCGTGCTCCTTTACGAACGCCTTGTGAGTCTCCTCGATCAGCTGCTGGATCTGCGAGACCTCCTCGTTCGATGTCTCCGCTGGGACATCCGGCAGGGATTCGGTGAACTCCCTGAGTGCAGCAATCCGGCCCATCTGCGTCTGCACCTTGAGCGCGAGCTCCGTCGGAAGCCGGGCAGGAGACGTCGTCCTTCCCGACGTGCGGTCTCCTGGAGGCAGCTCCAACACAGGGGTTTTCGAGCGGTCCGTCTTGCCAGTCTTCGTCTCGTCCGCCATGGCGAGAGAGCGTGAGAGGTTGAGAAGTATAGTTCGCAGAGGAGAGAGAGAAAATTAGCGATGAGATTCACGCGAGAGGATTGTGAAATCACGTGAGCAATGCGGAAAGCCGTGTATGTGCGCGCCACTGATCACGCGAAAGGGCCGTGAGATCACTTGGTCGATGCGTAGGACCGTATCTGTGCGCGCCGCCGATCACGTGATCGCTGCGTGGTTGAGCTAATCCGTCCGAGAGCCCCGCCGCATCCGGCTCGAAGGACCAAAAAATGTTGGCGATTCTCTTTTGGGAGAGCTCGCTGGACCGCTGCGGATGGAAGCAGGGTGAGAGGGCCTTGCGGCGAGACTCGGGGAACGGATGCACGCGTGCGAGGGTAGTAATCACGTGATCGAACACTCTTGGCGTTTGAGTAAAATACCGTGTCAGTTTAATAAGTATAAAAGCTTACAGTTTGGTAGTCTATGAGATACCGGTGGATGAAAAGTCTCGTAATCACTTGCACGGGTCGATAGTATTTATCTAAAGCCGGCCTCGTGAATGCGGATGCCCGTGAGCCGTGTCCACGCTACGCCGGCGTGCGAAGCGTGGTGAGCTTGCGCTGCCGGTGATGCTGTATCTTATGTCCTGAATGTGTAGCACTGCGAAGTGTTCACTGAATGTTCACACTGAGTCAGTTCTCGGATGAGAAAGTCCACCAGAGCACTACTAAGATCTTCTGCACTTCACGACGCGTGTACTATGTATCGTAGCCATGAGCGAAAAGGTGCCGGTAACGGACGTGACGAAGCGCCGTCGCCTCGAGTCACGATCGGGCATGCGCGCGCAGCGCTCCTGCGGCGCTGCACGATCCGACCCGGCTGATGCTGCCATCACGCCGGCAACGAACTGACCGAGATTCAGAAATGAATCCGGAACAGCAGAATATTCTAGAGTGCGTGAATACTCTAAAACTTGGTAAATTTCGTGTTATAAACCCATGTAGAATCACAATTTGTGTATATTTCTGTGAAGCAGAATATTCTAGAGTGCGTGAATACTCTAAAACTTGGTAAATTTCACGTTATAAAGACTCGAAACCCATCTAGAGTCGCAGTTTACCTTCAATTTCATGTTGTAAACACTTGAAAACCCTTTGATATATATGTATAGCGATGGTTGCGTATATTTTTACACCAAGGTGTTAAAAATGAAAACTCGAGGCAGACGCGCTTCCTCACTTGCAACCGTTTAACTGTTAACATTTATTTCTAATAGTTACATTTGTATGACATAGAAGCAGCAGCAGCATGAGCAGCCGCCGCCGCAGCAGCACGAGCAGCAGCGATGACATGTACCGCGATGTGAACTGGCTAAGGTAAGCACACATTGCATTTATGTTTCTTACATAAAATTCTAATCGGTACGTTTTTATCACATTACAGCTTCATGAGCACCAGCAGCAGCGCGAGCAGCAGCATGAACAGCCGCCGCAGCAGCA